GCCCGCCTCCCCTCCCCACCTGTGTCTGCGCTTTCGGAAGGAGCCCGTGGTGTTTGTGAAGGCTTGAGGCTGATAAAGCTGTGGCCAGAGTCTGTCCAGAAACAGATCCGTGAGGCAGCGACCTTGCGTGTCCCGCGGCTGAACTTTCAGTGTCTAGTTCGACGCCGGGGACGCAGTAGATGCTCATTAAGTAATTGTTGCAGAAGGGGTGCAAAGGTAGAAATCGGGGAGTGTGGGCCACTTTCCCGCTGGCACACTTTGAGGTCGGTTTTATTTGTTTCCATGTGTTGCTAGGACAGAGAGACGGAGCTGTGAGCAACGCTTTCCTGCGCATGTTTCTTTCTCGGTGACCGATTAGGTGCATAAATCGCAGGGGGCAGCGGGGTGGAGGATACACGCAGGCGGTTTTGCCCTGTACTGGAACGGCCTTCTAGGAGGGCCGCGCTGACACTCCCGCCAGCAGGTCTGAGTACCTGTTTGACCACATCCTTGCCGGCGCTCGGTATCATCTTTGTTTTGATCCTGCCCATCTGATAGGTGGGAAATATGTTGTTATTATCTTAACGAGCATTTCTTTGATTCCCAGTAAGGCTGAGTAGTTTCATGACATTTGTTAACTTTCTTTGCAAATCCCCCATCATGCCCTTGGCCAATGCTCCTGTCTCCCTGTTGGGAGTGAGCCTTTTTTTCTTCTTCTTATTGATTCGTAAGAGTTCTTTACATATTAAGGGTACCAACTCTTTGTCATTTTGGTGGGTAAGAGGAGCCAGAAGTTGAGAGAGGGGAAGTCACTGCTCAAGGTGCACATCTAAGAAGAGGTGGGTCAGGAATCTGAAACAAGATCTGTTTAGATCCATGTCTGGGGATCTTCACCACCGTCTCCATGACACCTTCTCCTTTCCCTGGCTTTGCCCCTCCATGGCCCAGGAGCCCTGACTTTCCACAATCTCAGAAAGGGGAGAGGCCTCTCACCAGACCCAGCCACCCTTACTACGTTCCCAACAGCAAGCCTATTCTTCAGTTTGCTGTGTAGATTCAATACTTGGCATGTACTAGGTACTCAATAAATAGTGTCTAGTATTATTTAAATTAATATTTATTTAAATCCTCACCAGAGGATATATTTTTATTGATTTTTAGAGAGAGAGGAATGGAGAGAGAGAGAGAGAGAGATAAACATAGATTGGTGGCCTCCCATACGTGCCCTGACTGGGGATTTAACCCACAACCTAGGTATGTGCCCTGACCAGGAATTGAACCTGCAACCTTTTCATGTACAGGATAATGCTCCAACCAACTGAGCCACCTGGCCAGGGAAGTATTTGGTATTATTGCCTTTTTTTTTTTTTTTTAATTTCTCTTCAGCCACATGTCTTGCCAGCTGCCTCCTCTTCGAGCCAAGCTCCTATCATTTGAAACAGCTGTCACTTCCCACGCAAGCTGCCTCGTGACTCCTAGCTTTGCATATGCTATTCCACCTCTCTACTAGGTCCACTTGAAGAGCTCCTACTCCTACTTCAAAACTCTATTTAGGTTTCCCTTCCTCTGGGAAGTCTTCCCTCACTCCTAGGCTGAGTTTCCAATTACAGACCCTGGACCAAGGCCTGTTGTGTTCCCTTTGGGTTTTCCAGGGCACTGCAGAAATAAGACACTCTGCTCCAAGAAAAAAATCATTCGCTGCCAACTATAAGAGCTGGAGAACCAAAGTGAACACATTTCATTCCTTGTCCAGAAAACAAAACATTACATCCACTTTGTTGTCCAGCCAATATTCAAAAACCTCTTGGGACAGTTGGAAACAATTGACCAGTCAGATACTTTTCACTTCAAACAGTTCTCAAGTCTGCCTGTTGACTGTGGGCAAACCCGATCCTATCATAAATTAAACCGAGTACTTGTTGCCAAATAATTTCCAAAACAAAATTATAAAAATCTCCAGAGTGTTGTTTTTCTTTTTAGTCAGCTTTATCACAGTATCACTTACACGCAATAAAACTCACTATTTTGAAGTGAATGCTCTGAGATGGACAAATGTACGTAGTCAGGTATAAAACCACCAGCAGGATGAGACAGAGACTATCTCACCCCCCCAGGTTCCCTTTCCAGTACCTGCTTCCCCCACGCCCTCGGCCCCCACCGCTGATCTTCATTCTTTCCCTTCAGTTTTGTCTTCCCTGGAGTGTCATATAACCGCAGTCATACAGCACCAGTTGTTGGTTCTGGGTACATGGTCGCTCAGATTCTTGAGCCAAAGCACCCAGCCCCTCCTCCCTCGGACCCAGGACTCCAGGCCCCCAGCCCCTCCTCCCTCGGACCCAGGAGTTCGGGAACCGGAGACTAGTAGGTCCTGGTTTCTGAGCACAGGAATTCTAAAAGTCAGCCATAGCCCCGCCGGGCGTGGCTCAGCGGTTGAGCATCGACCTGGGATCCAGGNCTTCTGAGCACAGGAATTCTAAAATTCAGCCATAGCCCCGCCGGGCGTGGCTCAGCGTTTGAGCATCGACCTGGGATCCAGGAGATCGGGGTTCGATTCCCGGCCCGGCACGTGCCCGGGTTGCGGGCTGCAGCCGATCAGTGATCCTTCATCATTGATGTTTCTACCTCTGTCTCTTCCTCTCCCGTCCTCTCTCTGAAATCAATAAAGACATATTAAAAAAAATAAATAAAAAAATAAAATTCAGCCATAGAGCCCAGGAGGAAGGTATTATTGGGAGACACATTTTTAGACGCGGGAACGGCTGATCTATTTGAAGGACACCCGGAGGAACAGCCCTGAATGGCAGCTGCAGGACGGAAACACCGGCTTCACTCCGGAGCTGAGCGGCTCTTGCAGCAGAACGCGTGTGACGTCATTCCAACAGCGCGTAGGCCCCGCCCCACACCAACGCCCCGCCCATGGCCACGCCCCAGCCCCGTAAACTACGATTCCCAGCAGCCGCCGCGCTCCCGGCCCATCCCCATAGGCCCCGCCCTG